TGTCCCCACTGGGGGATCTCTCCCAGTACGGCTGAGGGGCTGAGGGTTTTTTTCCGGCTGGCCAAGGCTCCCCAGGGGGGCCCTCACCCCATGGAGGGTGTGGCCACCCGAGGTGAGGGGCTGAAGGGCAGTTTGCCAGGCTGGCCACAAGCCCCTTCAGGGGTGGGGGGTCCCCACCGGGGGGCCTGGGCCAGGCCTGGGTGAGGGGCTGATGGCTGTTTTGCAGGCTTGCCCCAGCCCCCCACCCACCCAAGCTCCCAGTGGAGGCTGGCTGGAGCACTTATCTGGGTTATTTAGCTTCATAATTGAACTTTGTGCCTTTAGGGAGCCACAGCCCGCTCAGGGCTGGTGGGAAGCTTGGCTTCCTCCATCGCTGGGGCAACCAAGCCTCCTGCTTGCTCCAGCTCCGTGGCTGCCGGCCGCCATCTTGGTTGGCTTAATTTGCATAAAGTCACTCTGATTGGCTAGTGGGCATGGCTTAGGGCATAGCAAAGGCACAGTCAATTAGCACCTTTGTCTTTTATTAGTGTAGATATGTATCAAATATTAGCACTGTTACTTGTTAGTAGTGGGAATATGGAAATTTTTTTGGTGTGTGAACAACCTCTACTCTAACTTTCCTATAAGGAATATTGACTAATCATGTGATAGGAAATAAAAAGTGCTTCGTGAGTTGTGAACTGTAACACTAGCTGTGCACCTGCAGGCCGCCGGGCGGGCCAGTCCCTGTCTCTTGGGAGGCCACTCTCCCCCTGGCCTCCAGAGACCTCTGTGCTCAGATGCAGCCAAAAGGAATTCTTGTTTTCATTGGCTAACACCGGGTAGAGGTCTACGTATCGACTGCTCACCTGGCTCAGGCCTGGTCTACCAAATGGTGTGTGCTCTGTGCCGCGGAGTCGGCTGACTCCCGGCGACCCCAGGGTGAGTGATGCCCCGAGTGTCCTGTGTCAGCGCCCTGCTCAGCACCTGCAGGCTCAGTCCACGGCTCCTTATGGAGCCAATCCTTCCCTTACTGGGCCTCCTCTTCCTGCTGCCTTCTGCTTCCCAGCATTACTGCTTTTCCAAGGAAGCCCGCCTCTCACGATGTGTCGGTTTAGTTGTTCTGCCTGCAGTGACGTTTCAGGCTTCACTTGCTCCTGAATGGACCTGCTCCTAATATTCGCCCCGACAACCGCAGGCACCCCCTCCACTGCTCCTGTTCCTTTGCTGGCTGAGGTCTGCATGTCAGCAGACTGGCCTCCCACCAGCTCTCAGGTGCCAGGACACAGACATGGCTGGAAGCACCAGGACCCTGGGCCTGAGGCCTGAGCTGGTCAGAGATGGGCAGAGCCTCCAGCTTCCCGAGGCTCAGGGTAGGGAGGTGTGTTCTGAGATGGCAGAGAGGTGCAGAGGAGATTGGAAAGCAGAATAGGAACAGAACAATTTCACTTTTACAAAGTGCTGTTATCAAGAGGCAGGGCTCAGGTATGGCACTTGTGCATCGCTGTGAGAAGGTCAAAGCGCAGAAACATACAGAAAGGATAAGAGAATTGAACACTTTAAAGAACTTGGTGAGAGGACAGATGGCACAGACATTCGGTGGGAGTGACAGCTGAAAACGAGACTGTGACAGCATTGGGGACCTCAGCGAAGGAGACAGACCAGGTTTCTTATCCTTTCTTTTGGTATGTGCGGTGGGCGCTCCCCGGCATCGGTTGGCAGCAGGCAGACTTTAGTGCCGGTTTCACCCTGCAAACACGCCTGCTGCCTCGGAATCAGAGCACCGTTAGGGCGAGGTCGCCACGGCCCCGGGCAGGCAGGGGCTGCCCTTACCACAGAGCACTCATCTGACACTTTGCTCAAAAAAGCAAATTGTGTCGACTGCCAGAGAAGCGGAGCAGACCAGTGCCACCTGCAGACAGCTCTTGTCGCTCACGTGAGCAAGGAGACATACGATGCTGTGGCAGCAGGTGCATGCTGAGCACTCTGGCCTAACTCACACCCGCAGCAAGCAAGTGCTGGGATGCCACGGGCCAAAGGCTTTCCCTGGCGCCCCCTGACCCAAGCTGCGTCTCCCTGTGTCGGTGCAGTCCTGCTCTAGGCTGCTAGCTCATTACATTCCCTTGGCTGAAAGGAGAGCGCTGTCTCCATTTGAGAGCGCCAGTAGTTTGACTTCGTAGACGCTAGTGAATTTTCCAAAGTCAAACCAGAGCATGACGCTGGAGCGAGAGGCCTGTGCCGGGGAGCGGGGGCGGCAGCGGGCGCGGCAGGCACGCACTCACCTGCGCATGCACTCCAGGGCCTGGGTGAAGACCTGCGGGGCCATGCCGTGCTCGTGCTGCAGGATCAGGCACTGCTCCAGTGTCACCGACATGGCCGTGCGGTCCTTGGCGCTCTTGCAGCTGGTGAACCGGACCCCGTTAAGACGGCGGCAGATCTGCCCACAGGAAAACAAGCCACACTTAGAGGGCGACTCTGCAGAACGAGAGGCCCCACATGGGACAGAGGCTCCAAGGCCCCAGCGAGGATGTGGCCACAGCTCCACCCCAGGCCCAGCCACTCCCTCTGCACCTGCTCCCCGTGATGGAGAAAGGCACTGCCATGGCACCTCCGCCCTCCGGCTGCCCTGGGGCACCTGCTCCCACAGGAGGCGCCTTCCCAGCCAGGCCCTCTCCCTTTCGGAGGTGACCCTCTGTTCGTGCCCTTCCGGCTAGTCTCTTCCAATTCCGACACCACCATCCCTCACCCTTGGGTACGGGCCCTCAGAGGACGCGGGAGGAGCAGCAAGGACCGGCTCCAGGAGGTCAGAGCAGCCAGAGGATGTCCAGCCCATCAGGGCCTTAGGCCTCTCTGGCTTCCTCTCCTCTCCTCTCCTCTCCCACACAGATGGGGGCCTGTTCAGAACACTGCCCGAGAGCCACCTGCTGACCACAGGCCCCAGGCCTTTCCCATCCTCCCCTCGCTCGGGGCCTGATGCAGGACGAGGCCTATGTGCCTCCTCACGCGTGAGGGGTTCCCAGATGGGCCCCTCGGGGCTAGGAAAGGAACACTCAGGGCGTCCCTCCCCCCGGAAGGATGTATTGGGTCGCTTCCTCTGCATCACTAGGTACCATCCTCGGGACACAGTCCCCAAATCCAGAAAGCCTTAAAACAGAAGGGTAAGTTCATGGCAACCTCATTTGGCAGCACACTCATATCTGAGCTCGTGTAAGCCCACTGACAATCTCTATTTAGGCCACTTTGTATAAATAGTCATACTTTTTAGTGAAGCAATATTAATCACGTACGTGCACCATGTGACACATATATGCACCAACTGTATACCATGTCACTTCTAAGATAAGGACACCTGGGAATTCCAGACCACCTGGCCACAGATTCCAGGCAAGGGTCCGTGACCGGGACCAGATACCGCATGTGAGAACAGCAGTGGCATTGAAAGCAAAATCCCCCACGCTGGACGATGCCGGGCTTGTGACCCGCTGACTCCAGAAAGATCCCAGACCCCCTGCAGGGCTGCCCTGAGGGTGGCCCCAGACGGCTTCCCAGGCCAGTAGAGCCCGAGCCACGGCCGCCCCTGGGAGGCACCAGCAGAGAGCACAGTGTGGTCTGATTACTGTGTCCAAGAAAAGACGCCTGAGGCTCTGGCTGGCCCTGCCACCCGGAAGTGAGGGATTGGACCCGGCTGATGATATCCCAGACGGCTGGCCAGGGACCCCCTGCTTACACACAAATGAAAATAAATAAGATCCAAGCCCTGGCCAGGTAGCTCAGCGGGTTAGAGCATTGTTCTGATTGCGGGTTTGATCCCTAGTCAGGGCATATACAAGAATCAATCAATGAATGCATAAATAAGTGGAACAGTAAATCAATGTTTCTCTCTCTCAAAAATCAATCAATCAATAAAATATTTAAAAATAAAAAGAGAAAGCTTAAAAAAAAACAAGACTCAGAAAAGGAGGCAGCTCTGGTCCCAGTGAGGAGGGAGGGCCCAGGACCTGAGAGGCTTGACACTGCTGCCCCCACCCGTCTGTCCCCCATGGGATGCCAGGTGGACAACGAGAACTGACGCCCGAGGGTCCCTCAGGCCCTCCCACCTAGGAGCCCTGCTTCTGTGCCAGGGCCTCTGGTGGGAACAGAAGATATGGGCTGGGTGGCCTGCGTTTTGGACCTGGCGCAGGGATGGTCGAGCACTGCTCTGGGCGGTAGTTTTTCTATTACGTAGCAAGAGAAAAAGAGCCACAGTTCCCACACAAGGTGGGGCAGCTCTCTGCACCCACCCTGTCTGCAAAGCTGTGGGGCACCCCCAACTACTCATGGGGCTCTCCACCAGGGCAGTGGCCCAGCTCTCAGTGGCCCTGGGCTCAGCCAGGCAGGGAGCTGTGGTGCCTCTGGGGCCACCTGTGAGTCCCAGTGACCACCGGGCCCCAGTGCTGTGCGGGGAGTGTGGCGGGATGAACGGCTGGACTGAAAGCACCAGGCGCACAGGACACCTCGAGGGCATGTCTGAAGGGCTCAGTGCTTGGGAAAGAGGAGATCTGAGCTACACTGTGCGACAAACAGTGTGTGAAGACCGGGAAGGTCACCACGGTCTCCTCTGGGCCTATTGGGGGACACAGAGGCAGCGGGTTCAGCTGGTATTGGCTGTGCAGGCTTCTGACGGTGAGGACTCGCATCAGCCCGGCCATCACCTGCCCGGGGACAGGTTCCGGGTCAAGCTTATCAGAATCCAGGCAGCCGGAAAGGAATGACCTCTCAGGCAACTCCCAGGATCTGCGAGTTTGGGGACACCGCAGTGTCTTTCTCCCGTGTCCTAGGGGAACCCCACGCGCTCCGCTCCTGCCCGCTGGGTGTGCTGTCCCTGTGGCGGTTACCACGGCAGCAGGAGCAGCGTGACGCCCTCCTCTCTGTGGGGCGCACCTCAGCAGCTTGCCAGAGGATGTCCACGTTCTTGTTCTTCCTGGCATGGACGTTCTGGCCCAGGAACCGCAGCAGCTCCGGCAGGCACGTCTGGCTCCGAGAGCGAGGCAAGCCTAGAAGGAGGGGGCATTGGGAGCTGGTGCCACACCTGAGCACAGCCCAGGGAGCCGTGAGGCTCAGAAATGGCAAAATGAAGTTTCTGGCTGAAGCTGGAAGTTGAGTGTGACTTAAGCAAGAACACAGGGTGTATGGGGGCCTGGACCCGGCTACATGTGGGGAGAACGCAACGCCTTTCACTGCCATTCAGTTCACCTGCAAGGCACTCGCTCACTTCAGCCCTTTTCAGCTCCCCCCAGGGCCCAAGGCAGACACAGAGCCACCAGGGCAGGAGGGGAGGGAGGGCAGAGGCGACCCACCCAGTCTGCACACCCTCCCCCAGGGAGGGAGGACACTGGGCAGTGGCCTCAACCGCTGAGTGGGCTTGGCTATCACTGGGGATGTGGGGCGGGCGCCTCCAGCAGGTGGACCTGGAGTGGCCCAGGCAGGGTCACCCCCTCCAGCAGCTCCCTCTGCCACCATGACATCTCCAGGTGCTTCCAGGACCCCTCAGACCAAAGATCAGTCAGATGCCACCTCCCCTGATAAACTTGGGATGTTCAGACATGGGGATCATCAGAGAAAAAGAGGACTCTCCAGGCCATGGCTAAGGAGAACAGCATGGTGCCTAAATCCCCAAATCAAAACCAAATACGTGCAATTCTGGGGCCTAGCAGCACATACAGTGTCCAGCACAAGACCTCAACCTGGTGGACACGGGACCCTATGCTAATTATCCCACACTCCTCAGCGCCGGCCGGTCAGAGGCCCCACCCTGGGAGGCTCATGCCCACTCGGTTTTGCTCCTGTAGCCGCGCCCCTCCTTGGCCTCATCACCGGGCCACCTTAACATCTCCTGGGGCCTTGCACCACTGGAAACTGGCCGCCCCAAAATGTCCAGCACAGAACTCCCCCTTCCTGCCCGCAGTGCTTGCAAGTGACTAAGATGGGTGGCGGAGCCCTGTGTGACGCGGGTGGGGGTGGGGAGAGGTCAGAAAGGGACACCTGAGGCCTGCGGCAGTCCTCTGGGTGGGGGCGGGCAGCCTGAGCGGTGGAAGGGCTGCCGCAGGGGCAGGGAGCAAGGCAGGCAGCACAGGAAGGCCAGGAAGCACACCCAAGGTGACACAAGACAATCGGTGGGACCGACCGCACATGAGGAAATACTTACAATCTTCAGGCAACACTTCCTTAAACTGCTCGAAGTAGGAATTTAGCCGCACCAAACTCTCCATGTTGATAACTTCTTGTAACGATGTGTCGCCAAACCTTCGGGGTCACAGGGAGGCTGTTAGCGGCTGATGCCGCCCTCCTCCCGCAGCGCCCGATCGCGCTCAAGCTAACACCACGCCAACATTTACTGAGCCACCCCATTCTGAGCACCTCGGCTCCCAGGCTAAGGTGCCTTGGTGACAAGTCTAAACACATTTCATCAGCAGGAGCCATGCACCACTGGTTACAGGCGTGTCCAGGAGGCTATGAGAACTCCAGGTGCACAGCCCTCCCCGCGGCGGCACACCCGAAACCCCACAGTGCTGGCCGGGCGGGAGTCCTGTCCTCCCATCCCTCATGGACTCAGGAGAGGGGACAGCAGGAGGGAGACGGCTGGGGAGTGAGGACGGGTCCCGCACTTGGTGTGAAGGTGCGCTCTGTCTCCGAATGACCTCACTCGATTGGACTGTGTGGAGACTAGCTCTCCTCACCATGCGGCTCACCCTGCCCACTTTGCAGGTAGCCAAGACGTGCCAGAGGCTCAAGGGTGAGGCAGAGGAGACCACCACAGGAAGGTGCAAAGCGGTCACAGAGACACGCAGGCTGCGACTCCAAGGCCCAGAGGCCAGGCCCGCTCCACCTTTCCCTGCAGAGTGGTCTCCTGCACAGTAGCCTCTTCATGGTCCAGGTTCTTGCTCAGAGGCAGGACCCTCCTGTGGGTCCACCACAGCCTGTCTACCTGAGGACCACACTGGCTTTCCCTCTGTGCAGCAGCTGGGCTTGTCTATGAGCTGAGGGGAGAGTGTCCCAGGAGCAAAGCAAAAACCCTGGACTCACCCCACCATCACGTCCTCCTCCACCAGCCCCCGCTCACTGCGATGTGGCCCTGCTCTCGCGGAGGCATCGGAACGGAGCTGCCCCACACAGGAGATGCAGTTCTCCTCCCCCGCCGGCCACCTCCCTGCTGCCATGATGCTCCCTCTCTCCTTGCAGTGGCTCCTCCACCTGCCCAACCTTCGAGGGCTCCGAGCCCAGCTCCATGACCCTGCTCCTGGCTCCTGGGCCAGTGACCCACCCACTGCTTCGGAAAAGCCTGGCTGTCACTGTCCTGCTGTCCCTCTTTCTTTCACACTTGCCCAGCTGCGGGCCCAGCCTTCTGTCACACTGCGAAATCTCCATCCACATGACCCTGTCTGCCTCGGGCTCGACTCTCTCCAACAACCTCCTCAGCACACTTGTCCCCTAACGTCGTCCAGGACATGGCCAGAAAGTCATCGACTTAAAAGGTAAGCCTGACTGTGTCCTGCCCTAATGCTCTTCCATGTCTCCCCCAGCCACACCACATGTGCCAAATGGAGTGACCGTACACCTAGGGGTCGATGGATCGTTTAAAAGCCCAGTAGGAATATGGCTGATCATCCTGGAGACCAAATGCCCTTAACCGAGAGTTAAGAGACCTTTTCATTCTAAAGTACACACATCACATGATGGGACAGAAAGCAGGAAAGATTTTCATGTACTAGTGAAAGGTCATGACAGGTTGCACACACCCAACCCCTCCTCCTCTGCAGCACACACCTACATGTGCACACACCTGCAACATGGCTCTTCCCTGCTGCCTGGCAGGTGACCCTGCAGGGAGTTGACAAGGCATAAGCCTTTAGGACCCAGGTGACCCTCTGCATGGCACACAGGCCCTCTAACCTCACCACTGCCCATCTTCCTGGGACCTGGGCCTCTGGCCCAAGGAGTTTCTCCCTGTCCGCCTTGCTCAGGCTCCTGGACCTGGGATGCCAGGTCTCTCCTCTGCCTTTCCATCTGACCAAAGGAAGGTGGCTCATGCCGCTCCTGGTGGCCAAAGGAAGGAAGGAGGACCAAGTACATCCAGCATCCGGAGCCTGAAGAGGGCTGAGTCCACATTCTACATCATCTCTATGTCTGCCCCAGCTCCCCGTCCCGAGGGCTGCACACGCACCTCTCGGCCAGCGTCTGCTGCTCGTTGATGCCCACGTTGAAGAGGACGGGCTGCACCCGAAGCAGCATGCCGCTCTGGATCTCCCGGGGCAGGGTGTCAAACAGGGGGCCCGGCAGAGGGATCCGCACGTTAAACCCGTCCCTAGGAAATGGGAGAGGAGGGGTTAGGCTTGTGATGGGGGAGAAGGGAGAGCAGGCATGGGAGACGAGGAAGACCAAGCTCTCTGCAACACGGAGTATGGGCTGGCCATCTGGCTCAGTGACTCCCAAACTGCTGGTGTGAACCTTTAGAGGATGAAATTAACGTAGAGGGCTATGGTAAGCATTTTTTAAAAATCTATGTCTCTATTGATTTTAGAAAGAGGAGCAGGGAGAGGGAGAGAGAGAGAAACATCGATATGAGAAGGAAACATTGATTGGTTGCCTCCCACACACGCCCCTATTGGGGATCTACCTGCAACCTGAGTAAGTGCCCTGACTGGGAATCTAACCAACGACCTTTTGGTGCACAGAATGATGCTCAACCAACTGAGCTACACCAGTTGAGGCTGTGATAAGCACTTTTAACTGAATGAAACAATAAAACGAAAGTTAAGATTGCATGGCAGAGACACAGGCCAAGATGGCAATGTAGGTAAATGCAGAACTTGCATCCTTTCACAACCACATCAGAATTACACCTAAACTAAAGAACAACCATCATTCAGAAGCACCTGAAATCTAGCTGAATGGAAGTCCTACAACTAGGAATTCAAGAAGCTACATGGAGACTGGTCCAAGGGGCAGAGACATGGACCGGGCTGGTCCCACACCCACATGTGGCATACAAAAATCAGGAGGGATATCTCAGTTGTGGACGTCCCCCCTGCAGAGTGAGGCACCATATCTGAGTCTCCACCAACCTGGTTAAGGCTACTTGCCCCGCCTTGGTGATTCCCTGAGACCCCCACCCTCACCCTACTTGCAGGCCCACACAAGCTGTTTCCAATGGGTTTTCCATAAAACTGGCCTATCTTGCTTCATGCTTCGGACTTTCCTAAAATCTCTCAAACAAGCAGCTGTAGAGGGCCGCCTGGGAGGGACCTAGGCATTTTCTTATTATTGTCAGCTGAACTCAGAGCATAGGCAGCCACGCCCTGGGAACATGCTTCCCCAATAAGGCTGGACATGTTAATCAGGCAGGGGCGGAACTAGATATGTAAATCTAGGCCTTTAAAATAAACCTGCTGTGTGGCTCAGCGGCTTTTGCCGCCTCTCCATCAGAGAGGATGGCGCCCACCTGGCCCCAGCTTAAAATCTATTTCTGCATCTTGGTCTTTCTTTAATTTCTTAATCCCCAGCTCCTCCGCTCAAGAACCTGTCGTTTTCCCGTGCGGGTCGCGGGAAACGGAAACAGCTCACCGCAAGCAGCATCTGGCCTCTATGTACCCTGTACCTCTTGCTAAGTGGCCCCAGGCCCGGCACTAGTGGTAGCCAGCCTTGATTCATAGCTTGGCTTCTTCTGGGCATCTCCAAGCCCAGCACAAGTAGCAGCCATTTGTAGATCATTCTGTAGCTTATTCCGGATGACAAAAGGCAGAGCCCACCTTCCGAGAGGCCCGAGACAATGCACCCAGTGGTCAGCTTCAGACCATGCCCATTACAATGTGGGCACTTCCATAAGCAACACACTCAAGGGGCAGACTTGGAGAGCACCAAAGCCCCACTGAAGCAAGTCCTGCTCCATAGGAATGTCTCCTGCACAGCAGCTCTTCTACTGTAGTCACAGCTGGTCCTCACAGCCAAATGGCCTTGGGGTCAATCCCTCCCAGTGATGCCAACAGCAATCAAGGCTCAACTACAGCAAGACTGTGCACACAGCCCACACAGGGACACACCTGGAATTCCTGGCTTGGATGACTGGAGAGGCTGTGCCACTGGGCCCTACAGGACACCTAATACACAAGGTCACTCTACCAAGTCCAGGAGACAGAGAAGCTTTACCTAATACATAGAAACAAGCATAGGGAAGCACTGGAAGCAGCTGGCCTTGGTTCACAGCTTGGCCTCCCCTGGGCACCTCTAAGCCCAGCACAAGTGATAGACATCTGCGGATGACTTTATGGGCCCAGGAAGAACAGCAGCAGTTGACCTTGGCCTGCACTTCCCAGGAAGCCCAACAAGAGATAATGGACCCAGTGGACAGCTTCAGACCACATTGAAGCACCACCACCTAACCACCTCCACAAACAATATACTCAAGGGGTGGATTGCGCGGGCACCAGAGCCCCGCTGAAGTAAGTCCTGCTCTGTGGGGCTGGGCCCTACACTGCTGATCCTCCACAGTGGACAGAGGTTGGTAGCTGGTGGTTGCAGCCAGTCCTTGAAGCTGATCAGGTGGGAGTAAATCCCTCTCATTGACTTGCCAACAGCAATCAAGGCTCAACTATAAGAGAAAGCTGTACAGCCCACATGGGAGGGGCAGTGCACACCTCAAGTGCCCAGCTTGGGTGATCAGGGAGGCTGTGCCACTGGACCCTATAGGACACCTATTATATTAGGCCATTCTACCAAGCCTAGGAGACGTAGTAGCTCTACCTAATACACAGAAATGAACACAAGGAGGTTGCCAAAATGAGATAAACATGTCCCAAATGAAAGAACAGAACTCCAGAAAAAGAACAAAATGAACATAAGCAATCTACTAGAGTCAGAGTTCCAAATACTGGTTATAAGGATGCTCAAGGAACTTACTGAGAACCTCAACAGCATATAAAAGGACCAGTCAGAAATGAAGGCTGCACTACCTAAAATGAAGAATAATTTATAGGGAATTAACAGTAGATAGATGAAGTTGAGAATAAAATCAGTGATTTGGACTATAAGGAAGCAAAAAACATCCAATGAGAAGAGTAAAAAGAAAAAAGAATGCAAAAAAATGAAAATAGTGTAAGGAGCCTCTGGAACAACTTCAAGCATACCAATATTTATATCATGGGGGTGCCACAAGGAGAAGAGAGAGAGCAAGGAATTGAAAATCTATCTGAAAAAATAATGACAGAAAAATTCCCTAACTTGGTGAAGAAACTAGACATACAAGTCCAGGAAGCTCAGAGAGTCCCAAACAAGATGAATCCAAGGGGGATCCAAGACACATCATAATTATAATGCAAAAGGTTAAAGACAGAGAGATTCTTAAAAGCAGCAAGAGAAAAGCAGTTAGTTACTATAAGAGAGCTCCCATAATACTGTCAGCTGATTTCTCAACAGAAACTTTGCAGGCCAGAAGGGATTGGCAATAAATATTCAAAGTGATGAAAAACAAGGACCTACAACCAAGATTACTCTACCCAGCAAAGCTATCTTTTAGAATTAATGGACAAATAAAGAACTTCCCAGACAAGAAAAAACTAAAGGAGTTCATCACCATCAAATCAGTATTATATGAAACTAGAGGCCCGGTGCACAAAATTCATGCACAGGTTGGGGGCGTCCCTCAGCCCGGCCTGCACCCTTTTGCAATCCAGGATCCCTTGGGGAATGCCCAACTACTGGTTTAGGCCCAATCCTAAACCGGCAGTTGGACATCCCTCTTTCAATCCAGGACCACTGGCTCCTAACTGCTCACCTGCCTGCCTGCCTGATCGCCCCTAACCACTCGCCTGCCTGCCTGATCACCCTAACCACTTGCCTGCCTGCCTGATCATCCCTAACCCCTCTACCTGCCTGCCTGATCACCCTAACTGCTCGCCTGCCTGCCTGATCGCCCTAACCGCTCGCCTGCCTGCCTGATCGCCCCTAAGCACTTGCCTGCCTTCCTGATCGCCCCTAAGCACTTGCCTGCCTGCCTGACTGCCCCTAACTGCTCGCCTGCCTGCCTGATCACCCCTAACCGCCTCTGCCTCAGCCCCCGCCACTGAGGCTTCATGCAGAAGGACACCCAGAATGACATCTGGAAGGTTGTTCGTCTGTGTGGTCTAATTAGCATATTACACTTTTATTATTATAGATGTTAATGGGTCTTTTTTAAGAAGAAGAAAAAAAGATAAAAAAATTAAAAAAGGCAATAAATAATTACCTATCAACAACTGAGTGTAAAAAAACCCACAAAATAAATGAACAAGCATAAGAGAAGCAGACTCGGATAGAGAACATTTTGACAGTTGCCAGGTGGGAGGGGGGTGGGAGGGATGTGAAAAAAGTGATGGGATTAAGAAGTACAAATTAGTAGTTATAGAATAGTCATGGAGCTGTAAAATACAGCATAGGGAATGTAATCAATAATAGTCTAATAACTATGTATGGTGTCAGATGGGTGTGAGATTTATTGGGATGGTCATTTAGTAAGTTATATAATGTCTAATCACTGGGTGGACACCTGAAACTAATATAACAATGTATGTCACGTGTAATTGAAAAAAATTTCTAAGTGATTTCAAAAAAAAGAGCACATGGAAAGTAATAAACTTAAGACACTATTAGTTCTAAGAATTTAAAAAACACTTCTACCGATTTCCTGTGATGACAGGCAGCATGTCAGTTGATGCGTTGGAAGTGGCCTGCGTAACTTTGAAGGTCACGTTCCTCAAGTCCATGATTCCAAGGCTCATGTCCTCCAGCATGGCCAGCTCCTCACCTGGACACAAAAGAGGGAAGGAGGGCTGTCAGATGGAGGGGACCTGCCACTCTCCCCATGGACTCACCCGGTCACAGGGTGGGGTGCAAATGGAAGGTGACACAATCAGGTGTGGTTGTGACGAGTGGGAGTGAGCGTGTGGGCAGGGCCTTTCCAAGCCTCTTCACCGGGCAATTTGCTTCTTCTCCCCAAGTAGATACTGGTATGAAACCAACAAATACTTTTTAAATTATTCATTTTTATCTTCTCCAAAGAAATAAGTAAAAATGGCGGTAAGGACAAAAGAGGCTTTTTAGAGGGCAATTGGGAAATATCTATGGAATTTTAAAATATTTCTACTCTTTTAAAAAAATACTTTTATTGATTTTTAAAGAAAGAGGAAGGGAGAGGAAGAGAGAGAGAGAAACACCAATGTGAGAGCGAAACATCTACTGCTTCCTGCACACCCTCTACTAGGTCTCAAGCCCGCAACCCAGGCATTTGGTACATAGGACAACACCCAACGAACTGAGCCACACCAGCCAGTTCCTTTGACACAGACACTTTCCTTCTAATGATTCAGGGGCTGCAGAAATGGGCCCACAAGTGCACAATCTTATGTGCAAAGATACATACCAACACTGTTTTCACAGGAGGGGTTCAGAAATGGCCCAAACGTCCTACAGGAAGTTGGTGCTTAGATAACCATCATCCCCCCTCAACTAGGAAGACGTGTAACAACCACCATAAAGCTGGGGTCGGGGTCACTATGTAGGACTCTCATCTGGCTCTTTGCTACAGAGTTTGGTCATGCTGGATTTATTTGAATCAGCCTGTGTTACATGTGTAATCAGAAAAATATGCAGGAGAAAGCATGGGATCACCTGCGTTCACACCCCCATGAACCCCTGGGTCCCAGAGGCACAGAGGGCAGGAGCCCCGGGTCTCACCGTAGGTGCTCAGCAGGCTCTCAAACTGGGCGAGCAGCCCGATGGTGTAGAGCTGCCGCAGGAAGCCATCGTCGTGCAGGCAGTTCCTCAGCTTGATGATGAAGCCGCAGATGAGAGCAGTCAGCTGAGGGGACAGACACTTCCTCACCCAACGGCAGGCACCCCGGGCCCGAGCTCCTCTGCTTCCTCCTCTGCTTCCTCGCTCTAACCACGCTTCAGCAGCACCTCTGGGCCCCAGGGAGGGCGTGCCACGCTCCAGGCTCACTACTCTGCTGCTCCCAAAGGTACGTTTGGTTTTGGCTCAGCCTCTGACCTGACCTCCCAGCAGTTACTCCTGGGCTAGCACCTCCTGGAAGCCAAGAATTAATTCCCTACAGTGAAAGGGTCTATATACTCCCAGATCCAGGCCAGCTCTGGCTGGAACTGAGGTGACAACAAGGAACAGCAGCGAGAAAGGACTCGGCCGCTCTGCACGTCTCCTCCGAGGGAGACTTTCCTTGGGAGAAAGAGGCCTCCCAGGATGGGTGAGGACAGGCAGAGAACCAGCCAGCTCTGCACGACTGTTCCCTTTGCTAAACTGATGACTGACATCGACGACACCCGTGACATTCATTTAGCTCTTCCCTCCTATGAGGACAACAGGAACCGCTGGACAGAGTGGTGCGCAGGCTGCAGAGTTGAGTGCCTGCTGTTTTGTAAACAGGAAGACAGATTGCCCTGGCAGCCAACAGCTGGTTCCCTCTCTGAAATCCTTTGTGGGGGAAAAGGCGGTAAAGAGGCTGAGCCTTTGGCAATGCCACCACACCCTGGGGAAGGAGGAGCAGGTGTGTGCCTGCCCTCAGGGCCCTTCTTCAGGGAGAAACTAGTCTGGCATCAGACCCTCTCCTCAGTGCAGACAGCTGGATGGGCTCCTCTGTGTCCTCCATGTCACACCAATGCAAAAGCAACAGGCAGGACACTTGGCCCTCTGTGTTCCCAAGGCAGCGAGGAAAGGCTCCTGTGCCTGTGTCCTGAGGGGAGGCGCGGACTTACGGTTTGGCAGAAGACCGCGTCGCGGCGGTGCTGCAGGCTCAGGTAGGCGGCAATGGTGGGCGCGCTGTCCTGCATGAGCAGGAAGACCATGGCCTTCTTGGCTTTGTCGCTCATCATGGCCACACAGTCTGTGAGTGTGGTCAGCAGGGGGTAAAGGGCCTCACTCCATTCACCTGTCCCGGGGAGACAGCGTGTGAGAAGGGAGACCGAAGAAGGAAGCTCTGGAAGTCTAACAGGGTGCCTGTGCCTAACCCGCACTGCCCTCCCCACTGCACTCCCACCCCTTCTGCACCTAACTCCGCCGGGCACACGCTCTGCCCGAATGGCGCCAAGTTCTGCCTGGATGGATCGGGTCGCTAACCTCCCAGCCTAAAGCTTTCCCGTGAGCTCAAATGCCAGCCCTCCTCTGGGACCCAGACACATGCCTGGTCTCCCAAACCTTCGGGAGCTCGACATGTAAACACTCAAGACTATTCTTTTTGAGGGAAATAGCAAGAGAAGACCCTGCAAGTCATGACTAAGGAAGAAAATTATTCTGTCTGTAGAGGCCAAGCCCCCGGTCCTCCACCCCAGGGCGCCCAGGACAGTGACCTGTTACCTTGCTTCTTGGCTCAGGCGCTAAGGACAAGGACACCCCTCCTGGTCCAGCCTCTGGCAGCTGTGCCAGCTGCTCCCTCCCCACATCCGAGGAAGAATGGTTCCGCTCAGCTTCCGTGTTCTCAGCTCAGACATCCCTTCCTTTTGCACTCGCTCTTCCCCGCCCCAGCCTTCCTGCCTGGTCCCATCTATTTCTAGTGTAGAGGTTTTTAGGACTAGAAGGAAGCTTTGACCCTGAACCAAAACAACTTTTTAAAAATAGAACCTCAGGGGGGAAAACAGAGTGAAAGGAATTTGGGGCTTTGGCTCTTTCTCCTTCCTATTTAGAGGGCATTTCAAAGGGCGAAGACGCCCTCATCAGTTCCATTTTTAACAGGTCACCAAACCCAGAAACAGGCACTTGATACCAGCACTGGGTGCGCCCACCACACACACGCAGCCGAGGCAGTGGGACAAAGCTGGGGAGCATGCCCTCAGGTGCCCCCGCCCTCCAGGAAGGCCCGGCGCGTGAGCAGTGCATCTGCCAGTGGTGAGCTCCGTCTTAGATAAACACAGCAAGAAGGCCTGGCCCTGGCTCTGCTCTCTCAGACACTGCGTTTGGCACTTTGTTGAAAAAGAAATGAGAGAAGTGCCTAAAACCTGCAAAAAGACCCCCTACACTCAGTGTTTGATGAGCATGGGTTTTGAAGATGTAGCTATTCAAAATTTGGCCATGACCTCACTGTATAAGTAGGCCCACTGTATGTGGACAAGGATTTACACTGTAATGGAAAAAGCCGGCTTAAATTTAGAAAGTCGAAGCAGAACGGTCTTAGCCAATAAGTTATGGTGACAAAGAACACTGGACCAACGAGTGGAAAACGTGTCCCGGGCCGGCTGCCGCCGAGAGGGGTTCCTGGACCGCTCAGCCGGGTGGGTTCTTCCTGGTAAAATGGGAGCCTGGTACTAAATCACACCCGAGTCTCTTCATCTAAAATTCTCAGAGACCACGTTTTTGTTTCTTTGAAGTCTGTTGAATGCATGTCAGTTATATTCCGCAACGATTAAAAAAACTGATGGCAACGAAGTTTTAGTGCTCAAATAGTTTGGGAAAAAGTGGTGTCATGGCGACTATTCAGGAAAAAGTAAGTCCTCTTAGAGCAAATGCTGCCAATTTTACTTTCTTTTCACTTAATATGCATATACATATGCAATTAATATGCAAATTATGGTCATTTTAACCTGAAAAATGCTCAAAATATATCAGTGGTCCTATCTGACTAAGCAAGCCGACTCCATACAGCAGTTTTTTACTTTGCCTACTTCTCATTCAAAAAAAAATCCAAAGAATGACTCAGCTTTGCTACCTTATTAAAATCCACTGACAAAATGGGAGTATACAAGCATGGTTAGCAGGCACGCGGAGTGTGTGCAGGAGAGGGTGCGGCTCTGGCCTGAGCCCCCGCTGCCTGTGCACGGCCTGCTGAGCGCTTCACCTACAACCATCTCCTCCCCTACCCACAGCCGGGGTGATGGACTGGGGAGGAAACGGGCTCAGTGGGCTGAGGGAGACACGGGAGCACCTGCCACCTGCATACGCTACTGACTCAACTCCTCATGGTTTCTATGACGTCAAGAGCTTCAGAGTAGGGGTTGGGTGTTATATATTTTGGTTCAATATGAGAAGCTAAAATGTAAAACTTTCAGACAAAATGAACGCCAGGAACAGTAATGACCAAAGTTAGGTCAAGGCATCTAGACTGAGGGCTGGAGAGGGGCTGTCTGGCCACAAAAGAAAACAGCAGCGACCAACAGGTGCCCTAGTGATGCAGCCCAGTCACTTTTGGGGGCAGCTCTTTACCTAGTTGCTAACCTGTAACACGTGCTGACTGGTAGCCAATCCATGGGCCATGCCTTTGCACCCCCGCCCCCCATTAACAGGGGAAGGAGGGAGGGAGGGAGACTGAGAGGTAAAGTGTGCCTGTGTGCGTGAATCCAGACTCCTGTAAGGTTGTGCAGGAAAAGCCAAAGGGATTCCTGGCTTAGTCCATTGGACATCAATTTTGGACAAGCCCCTAGCACTTGGGAAAGGACACAGCTGACGGAGCCGGGAGAGCTCTACCAACCGGGCGTGGTGTGTGCCCGCCCGGGGCCCCACTAGCCTTCCCATCAGTAAACTGCAGGACACTGCGCTGAGGACAGCCCTGAGCTCCTAGGGGGCAGGCTTGTGATGCCGCCCCTTTCCTGGTCCTGACTGTGGGTGTGGTCCCAAACTTCTCCAACTCAGGCTCCAAGGAAGCAGCTCGGCATGAAGGCACAGACCAGCCCTGGAGGCAAGCTGAGGACGGGAAGCCCAGAGACAGTGGAGGGAGGAGGAGAGGGCACAGGCCAGGAGCGGCAACAGGGGCAAGGCACCTGTATGTCCACCAAGGCCTCAGGGCCCTGAGGGTCCAGGGCACTGGGGGGTGAGACCCCGCACTGACTTTTTTGGGAAAAAGAAACTATAAAAGGGGCTGAAAGCAAACTGGGGGTATGAGCCCAGTCAGATCAGCCCACTGACGAGTCAGGTGGATGGGAGCTGGGTCTGCAGCCAGCAGTCGCCCAGTGGCTGAGCTGGAACCACAGTGCCAGGTGAGCTGACAGGAAGTGGGTAAGTCCCACGATCGCTGGTTTGCTACCCTCTGGATACAGAGCAGGAGTCCTGCTAGCTCATGTTTACATGCAGGCAGGTGTGCAACCATCCAATGATCATCAGCTGTTTGGAGTTTGGAAGCTGACATATTATTCGGGGTCTCATGCTCACTCAGGGAACAGGCCAATCCAGGAAGCACAGTAAGAGCTGGAGCAGGGTCGGCACTTTCCCGTCAAGGCCTGGACAGGAAATACTTTAGGCTCTGAATACCACAGGATCTCCACTGCCATGACTGACCCTGGCACTGCCCCGCGAAAGCAGCCAGAGGCCGCACGGAGCACATGGGCACAACTGGATTCCAGGAAAACAGTACTGACAAGAGCAGGTGCCTGGCAGGACTCTGCTCAGAGCTGGGTTTGCCGACCCCTGAACTAGAGCTGTCAACGTTGATTTCTACGTGCAAAGGCAGCAGAAGCCCCATGTCCAGCGCTCACTCCAATGGGAGCCACAGCAACCAGTGCCTGGCGCCTTGAGCTGCATCCAGACTCAGAAAAGAGTCTGTGTGACCACGAAGGTCACAGCCTCTGGGACTCCCTATGACCCAACACACTCCCTCCGGTGATGCCCCGAAGTCCCGGTGCAATCAAAGGTCTCCTTTACAAACGTGCACCTCTCTCCAGGCAGGTGACCCGCTGCCGGAAGCCCAATGCACTCACGGACATTAATCCTCTGAGACGGGTTTAGGGTGGGAACGTGGAAAAATGCACATGATGGCTGCTGCAGGCCACCGCCCCCAGCCCGACGGGTCCCTCACCCAGCCTCAGAAAAGCTGCTGCGTGCCTCACAATGAAGAACTCCTAGACAGCAATGGTGTAACTCTGGGAGCACAGTGCTCTGATAACAGACTGCACATGCTAGCTGAGTCTCGGAGAGCCCTCTGCGACCCTGGGGCGGAAACCACGTACCTGGGCTGGATTCTTCAGGAGGGGGGCTGCAATCTGCACAGAAACGGAGGGCAACATGGATGATTAAGAGCAGCACACAGTTCAAGCACCAAACTCAACGCTTGCAGCAACTGCTTCCACAGCTTGCAGTAAGGTGGCTATTCGGGACAGCGAAGAGGGGGTCCGGCCTGCCTCTTCCCCAACAAGTCGCACGGACGCGCTCCGGCTACTCCAAGGCAGCCGAGCCCCTTGGTGGTAAACACAGCCCGATTCACAGGCATAAACATTCATGTTGCTAATACGTCAACATAGAATGCTTTTCAGAGTGAGCACGCTTACATGTTACAATGTGATGGCGAGCCCACGTCTGTCACATTACATGTGATGGAGCCCCTGTTGGCTCATGACATCTGGAAGCAAACTTGAAATGAGAGAGACTGACCAGCCAGCCACCAGAGGCCCCACCGCAGAGCCACTGACCTGCTGATGGGTGGCACTGGGCTGCAGACTGACTGCTGAGAACCAAAGGTAGGACCTAGGGAGGAAGCCAGGACACCAGGACCCTCTATGCCACTCTTTAAAATGCAAGCCAAATATAAAACTTTATGATTAGAGGGAAGTCTAGAATTAGAATGGCCCTCCAGGTCCCTCAAAAATAACAATTTTGATTCAGTTTCACCCACATTGGGTCACACTGGGAAGTACTCATTTCAATTTCACATTTCCCTCAAAAAACCTAAGTTTCCTGTTAACTGGGTGTGTCACCTAAAAGAAAACTAGAGATCATTTGGAATAAAAGTTTATTTTATTTTGCTGCCTAAACTGTTTAGTTCAAAGAATGCCTCCAGGATATGGAAATAGATCATTTCAGATCCCCAAGAATACCTGGGACCGGCTACAGGGAGACTCAGAACCTGTGGAACTGTCCAAAAGTCCTGGCGTGGGATCCTACCCTTCTTGTCATCTCTGCTGATTTCTCTCTCCAGGCAAAGGGGACAGAAACAGAGCAAAATCCCAGGCCTCAGAAAGCTCAGACTTCAGCCTCGTTGTCAGAGCCCATCTACCTAGAGAGAGTGACCCTGCCCGGTGTGGGGATGAGCGCAGCGACTCTTCCACATCTGTCTGACTAGTGAGAATGACGAGGCCTTGAGGAAAATACAGCTCTCTGCCTTCCCAAGACTGGGGTCTGAATGAGGAGGCCTGGGAGCCTGTTTGTGACCTTCTGTGGTGATCGCAGCCAGCTGGGTCGGGACCACTCCTGAGAAGGCGTCTTCAATCAGAGGGGGAGGGAGTGGGCCCCTGGGGTACTCTTGGACCAGCTGCTTGTCGTAGGTCACGGAGTCCCCTGAGATTTCATGACCACTTCAGACTTTCTCTCATTTTAACACATAATCTCGGGCACACAGACCTCAGCTTATGGACAACCTGGTCCTGGTTTGAATGACTTTTTGGGGATGAGGAAAGCAAGAGAGAGTGTGTGTAGAAGGTAATGGAAGTCACAAATCCTGGCGCGGGGTCGGGGTGGGGTGGGGGGGGAGGTGGGGAGATAGACTTATGGAGCCTGCGGTGGGTCCCCCTTCCCCCCGCCTGCCAGGCAAGGCTCTGCTCAGCTCTGCAGGAGAGTGAGCTAAGAGGCAGGCAGCTCCTTGGTAAAAGATGGAAAAGGAGGACCCAGGGTGGGCAGAGAATTGGAACAAAAAGTAACGATGCCTTTCAAAGAGGCAGGGAGTTTGTAGGTAGTAAATATGCAGGTGTGAACACAACCTGCTCATTAGGCCGCACACCTGCCCCAGGAACGCCCAATGGTCTCCGAAGTCATGCCAGGGCCCAGCTTTGGCCCTGGAGGACAAGCGGGGAGTAAAACATAGGCCCCACAGTCTGTTTCTTTCTGATTCCCCTGCTCCTGCCGAGGTCCGAACAGTATCCTGGTGATGCGCTGGATTTCTGGGCTAAGGATCACGGGCAGTCACCTCCGTGGCATATGGTTCATAGTCTGTGAGCACTGGCAGCAGTGTGTGCTTCACATCCCCATCATCACACCGCTCATTCGTGTGGCACACACGATTACAAGCCAAACCCTAAACAAATGCTCATTTAAATCACTTTAAAACTGCACTTAAGCCCTAACCGGTTTGGCTCAGTGGATAGAGCATCGGCCTGCGGACTGAAAGGTCCCAGGTTCGATTCCGGTCAAGGGCATGTACCTTGGTTTCGGGCACATCCCCAGTAGGGAGTGTGCAGGAGGCAGCTGGTCGATGTTTCTCTCTCATCGATGTTTCTAACTCTCTATCCCTCTCCCTTCCTCTCTGTAAAAAATAAATAAAATATATTTTTAAAAATTGCACTTAAATTTGTCTACATTTGAACAAAACAGGATGTATCTAGAAAAAAATTACATTTCAGTTATGGATGTAACAGTCAATCTGATTAAATAAACTATCTCCTGCATTTTAAAAATCCAAGAAATTACTTTTTGTATCTGCAGAAAAATTTAAAGCACAAGACAATATTAAAGAGAAATGAGCAATGAGTTTTCAGACATTTTTTAAAGAAACGCAACTTACATTAAAAAATGAGAACACAGAGACAGAAAAGCTCCATGAACTGAGCTGTGAGCCTCACAAATGGAAGCGTGGAGGACGTGAGTGCTGCTGAGACAGGCCCCCGTGAAACAGACTGCAGGCAGACGGAGCCGGGAAAGGCACGTCCCAGTGAGGGCTTGTCGAGAGCCTCTGAAGGAGGAAGCATGACTCTGCCTCGAATGAGAGTTGCCCAATTGAGAATTCAAAGTCCTGGCTGTAGGAAGCCTAACCCTGGCCCAGCTGGGCCTCACTTCCTGTGGCTCAATACCCCCACAGGAGAGCCACGAGGAAACGGAAGCTCGGTCTGCAGCCTGGTCTTGGCTGCCCGGCCCAAGCCTTTTCCTGTGAGAGCTGGAGGCTCCGAGCTGCAGAGACAAGAAGCCGATCGATCACGCCCTCAGGCTCTGAGCAGGGCCGAGCGTCTGCCTCTGCCCGGTTCCCGCAGACAGAAGACTCTTCCTGCAGTGTGCTGCTCCGTGCCAAGGTCCTCCCCCCCCCGCCAGAGCCCCACGCTGGTGGTAACAACAGGAACCGAACTCAGCCCCAGAGGCACAGGTGCCACCACCAGACCGAGTTACCGCACCCGCAAGGCACCGTGCCTCTGCTGGGTGAGCGCGCCCACTAATGACAACTGGCCTTCCGACAAGTCCGCTGGGCCCGCTAACAGCTCTCCTCCAGCTTGTCCCTGCACCAGTCACCTGTCATCGACTCTACCAGCTCCTGACCTAGCACAATACACAGCCTCATCAGAAATGCATGTGCATTTGGCCTCCTCCCGCTTCTCAGATTGGTTCACAAACCAGAGGAGCCCAGGAGCCCGACCCTTACTGCTGTGGCAGCATGATCCAAGAGGCCCTTCAGAGCCCACTGTAGCCAGACCTGCAGATGCACACGCAGGCTCCGTGGGCATGAAGCCCACAGGCGCCTCTGCCCTCAATGCCCGTTGCTCCATGCACGGCGACACCCCCTCTGCCGACAGCCCTCCCTGCAGTCTGCATGGGGGAAGAGGACACGGAGTCAAGACACAGACAGATGCAGCATGAGGTGGAGGTAGTGTGATGGGAAGCCTGATGCATACGCACGTGTGGTCAGGTGAGGATGGCATGCAGCAGCGGGCATGGAGGCGGGGCGTGGTGAGGAGGGGGCATCACAGAAGGGGTCCTCCGGTCTGATCCAGTAGGCGTGGCTGTTCCGGTTACCTTTCTTGCTGGTGCCGCTGCCCGAGCAGGGGAAGCCGTCCTCACAGCCCTCACCGAGCAGGCGCTCCTTCTGCAGCAGCTTGTCCACCCGCTGGATGATGCACTCCAGGCTCTTGTCAACGTTCAGCCACACTTTCTCCTTCCAAAAGCAAAAGAGCTCATTTTGGTCAGCTCTCCAATGGGAAAGGCAGAACAGATCACAAACCAAACCATCCCCCACTGATCCCCACCCCACACCATGCTCATCAAAACACAAGATTTAGAAATATCAATAGGATTCGTAATTCCCCAAATACATTTTAAGTTGTATTTGCTTTTCAAAGGATGGATCTATGTCCCAGGTTGCTAGTTTTAAAATTTGGGAGATGTTTGCTAGTAACTGTCATGGAGGCCAGATAGGGCTTCCCAGCCCCTTCCAGGGTTAACACAAGGGCCCCAGGGCCCAGGGAGCCAGTGTCACCGCCCTCGCTCCCCTGCGACCTCCTGCATCACACAGAACGGACTGAGGTCTCTTGGATGGAAGAGAATGGAAACAGCTGACCCCTTCAGAGGGTGGTGGGAGAAGGTGAGGGACGCCCAATCAGATCAGGAGTGAAGCAGCGCTTGCCCTGTAATTCAGTAACTCAAACTCTGCTTCTCAACAGTCTGGACACCTGACGAAACCAGTTCTATGCTATGTCCCTCTCTCAGGAGACACAGATCAGCTCTCAGGCACAACTCTGAGGACAACGTGCTGTGGTGTCAGGGCGAGCGGGTGAGGCATGGCGAGGGCCGAGGGCTCCAGGAGAAAAACGCCCCTCACAGCCGGGTCTGAGAGTGGGCAGCCCTCAGCAGCCCGCTCCTCCGAGGGACACAGTGGTGAAATGCTGTCTCCCTCCCGACATGAGGTGCCCCGCAGCTGTCTGGAAGGGGTCTTGGAGCTTTCTGCAAAGGCCCTCCTGAGGGAGAGCAGCTGTGGGACGTTTCCAGTTTCACCCCGAGCTCAGCAGCACGATGAGGCAATGGGCAGCACTCACCCACTCCTCCTCGTGCCAATCCACCTGCAGAGAAGACCGGCTGTTCCTGCCCGTCCACCTGGCCATGAGGGTGTCCTGGTCATTCCTGAGCATCACCTGCTCCTCCTCGGTCGAGGTGGGGGAGGCCTTGGAAGCAATATAGTCGGGCCGCGCCGCGTTCAGCCCATGGATGGAGTTGGCCAGCAGCTTGCAGTCGCAGACGGTGACCAACTGCCGGGTCTGCAGGCGCACACACACCGGGGCCGCTGAGCTCCAAGCCAGGGACTGCCAGGCCTGTCCTCTCTGAGAGCTCGGACCTGCCTGAGCCCCTCCGCCCCCTCCACAGCCCGCAGGACGCCGAGCCTGGACTGCCTCGTGACCGACCTGCGGACCCTTAGCCAGAATTCCTACCAAGAAGACTGGAGAACATGGGAGAATGAGGGAGGATGAGGAACCTCTACCAGCCCTTGTGCCTGCCTCTGAGCTGACATCGCTCAAGGAAGGGCCTAAAGAGGGCCCCGCGCCCCAGCCTTCAAGGACGAAGGGCGGTCTGTCCCCTCTAATCCAGGCGCCAGCCTTACTTTGGCTTAGTCACGGAAGCCTATCTTCTGCAGCTACCTCCTGGAGCCCGGCCCCAGCTCTGGGGGCTCCGTGTGCGCTCCCTTTCCCATGACTGATGGTGACCCGTGGGGAGGATGGAACATGTTCTGCTCAGGAACAGTGCCTCCCCGCACAGTGCTTGTGACCAGGGCAGTGTGAGCAGAATCTCTGTGTGTGCGTGCGAGGGACAGAGAGATCAGTAATTTGAAGACGCATCACCCATCAAAAGGACCTGAGGTAGCACATCCCAGTGTAGATGTATCCTTATGTCTTTTAAATCAGGATCAAACTGCCATCAATGAAAGGCTGGTTATATATAAGCCAATAAAATATACTGTTCTTATGTTATGTCTGTATAATAACTCGCTTTCTCTTTTTTTAATTCCAAGTACAAGTGAACCATGGGGAAAATGTGCTCAGTGGGTGGTTACTAAGAAAGCGTGGAACTGTCAGGCCTTAACAGGGACTCCTCTGGCCCTGCTGGGAGCCGCCTGTGCAGAGAGCAGCGGCGGCCGTCACAGCCCTGGCCTGTCCTTTGTCCACGGGCAAATCACCAAGCCCCTGGACCTTGTGGGAACTGGATCTGAAGCTCACCTTCCAGATCATCCCAATGTCACCCACTGGGTGAATGGCTTTGGGCACCCTCTGCCACACCGAGGGAGCCCCGCCCACACGCAGCAGGGCCGCCCCTCCTACCTTGTCTGCCAAGATGGCGAGCGTCCTTTCGAGGCCAGTGGCAGACCGGTCCTTGGCCGCCCTCGAGAGCCGCTCTGCGTAGTAACTCACTTGGGTTTTCAGGGTGTTGATCTGGGCGATGATCTCCTTGGCTCTGGTGACGTCCTGTGGTATGTAGATGATGGACTGGCAGCTGGATGACGTACTAAGAAAGGGAAGAACAGACCGATGAGGCTGGCAGCGCCCTCCCACCCAGCCCGCGACCCACACAAAATGAAGCACTGCCACGCAGGGACGTGCTCCTGGGCTGGGATATCGAGGAGAGCCTTCCTGTCTGTATGTGGGGCACAAGGGAGGTACAGATAGGGCTTCCTGCAGAAGCCTGAAGCATTAACATACATTAAGTCTCCTATTATATCTGTCTGTAGCTGTATCTGTACCATGTGTACGGACTTTGTGCGCAAATATTAAACCCAGAAATTACCTCACTGTTGAATTCTCAGCAGGACTTAAGTGGAGACATGGGGTCTGCTGATGCCAAAGGGGTCCGCTTGTCATAGTGAAGGGAAACTTCCCAGGGTGCAAGACTTTGCCAACAGGATCCTTGATTTTTCATTTGGCCAATTGGGACTTCAAACCTGCTGTGCCCACACCCACAGCTCTCCTCCCTCCCGTGTTGACCCCAGCAAATCCTCAGAGACCCGCTGCCTTCCCTCCCCTCTCCAGGACTTTCCTCCATTGAAATGTGAAGGTGGAGAGCGTGCCAAGCCAGAGGCCCTGGACCCTTTAAACCTGGCTCTTGTCAAACCTGGGAGCTTTGGAAACCTGCTTCTTCCTCCCACCCTGCCTCCTCGCCACCAAGCAGCGTGTGTATCTTGAGATCTGAGGTCAAAGCTACAGCCCAGCCATTACTGGACACAAATAAATACCAGCCTCGGAGAGCCAGCCAGCGTCCCGGCGGCGTGGGGCCTGCTGGCATGGTGGCCCTTCCAGACAGAGATGGTAAATTGCATGTCTCTCAGCTAAGATCCCAAATCAACCCGATATTATAAACAGATTTTTCAGACCATGTGTGGAAGCTGAGGAAAGCAGGGAGGGGAAGGATGAGGCGCCAACGCAGAGGTCTCTCCCACAGCCGGGAGTCGTGGGCTCTGGCTGGAGTGGGTGTCCCCTGCTTCACTGAATGAGGGGCCCTGCTGGTTCCCTCAGAGCTGCCCACTGGGTTTGGGGGACGAGAGAGAAAGTGGAGAGCTACACCCTCCATCACATTCTCTGGGGATGGGGGTGATTTGGGCAGGGCTGAGAACCTACCCAATGGGTTCTTTCCAGGGCTGGCTATTTATTATCCAAGTCAACACAAAATTGCCCCGCCCCTTCCCTGGATGAAATATGGGTTGAGCATGCAAAAAGCAAAACCCAAAGCACCCCCGAAGGAAAGCACACCACAAGCCCACACACAACAAAGACCTGCCAGAAGCCATGCAGCAGCCTGCGCTGCAGCCTGCGTGGTCCAACGGGAACCTCCCACAGCTCCAGGTGCACACGGCGACCTTCCAACCTGCAATCCCTCTTCCAAATGAATAGCTGCCATTTTAGACAATTCAATCTTAAAAATACAATCTCAAAATAGAGTTTAAGAACCTTTAACCCTCCTGATGTTTAGAGCACACACGTAATGTGTGCTGTACGCAGATACCCATGTGTGTACCTAGGTGGACACTTCCACACATATGTTCCTCCCCTGTGCATCCCGCCCACTCCCTGTCCTCACAGGCCACGTCCTATAACATCAAGCTGGGCCTTCCGCACAGGGAGCACATGAGTAGCTTCAAAGAGCTGCCCTTCGGGGTGACCATGAAGGTGTGAGCACGTGTGCCCATGCCTGGTCCTCACTGGGGAAAGCCGCGAGGCCTGAGCCTGGAGGGCTCCTCAGGACTTCCCGTGCCAGACGTCCGCAGAGCCCAGCATCTCAGACAGGGCCCAGCCCCAGCCCCAGCCCCAGCCTCACCAGCTCCAAGGGGGCGATCCCAAAGGCTGGCAGTGCCTCTGGGGCTGCCAACTGAAGAAGTGCCACTACAAAGCCCCGTTCTGGGCATGCCTGGGGCCTGGAGCAGCAGGGGAACCCCAGGCAGCAGACATGATGATTTCTGGCTGCCATCTAACTCTTTGGTGGAAAAAGTCACTTGGTTATTGTAATTCTTGGTAAAACTAATACTAGTAACACTGTTTTAAAATTATACCTAAACTATTAAGTATCATGAAAATGTAAGCTGGCTTCATTCCCCAAAAGGTGATGGTGAGGGGAGGTGGAGACTGACAAGCCCCGAGGTTCTTGTAATAGAGCCGGAGAGATCTCAGTCCCCCTCGGTGCGGACGGGACATCCCAGCTCCGGGCGCGGCGGCCTGGGCTCCCGGCCCGGAGAGAAGCACACCAGGTCTGCCCTCGGAGGAGCACAGGCTCGGATTTTAAAGACAAAGCAGAGACTGCGCTGGCTATTCATCATCCAAGAACATTGCAGTTGGAAGGGAACGGTGTCGGGCCTTAACTCGGAGCCCACAGCGGCACGAGGCTGAAGCACCTCTCGGGGGAGGGGACAGCACAGGCTTTCTCTGCATGAGAGCAAGACCCAGACAGACTCTCTCCACAGACAGAAAACTCACCAACACTCCTCAAAACTGCTAAAGAAAAGAACCAAAATGAAATATTAGCATGTGTTAGCAAATACCAAATGCAAACCAAAAATTTAAAAGCCCAGTTTTGTCACAACACTTGAATTTGATAGTTGAAGGACAACTAACACATGAGCCAGGTGCTCATTCCTGATGGCATGCTCATGCCCAGGGCACATCCCTGTTGGGCACAGTGCGGCTGCACTTGAAGGAAGTTTCAACGAGGAAAACCGCTCCCACCAGTTCTATGACTTTAGTAGGACATTACATAAAAATATTATATATTTGAAAAATACCACAAAGGCATATAGGGGCTGAGACGTTCTGAAGTTAACGCACGGTGTAATCGGGCATGAGCACGCCGGCCTTCCTGGGACGAGGACAGCCGGGGGCACCCCTCTTGACTGGCTTTTCCCTCCAAGGCCCCATGCCACCCTCAATCGCACGCTCATACTCCACACGCCCCGTGCAGCGGTGTGACACACACAGGGTCTCTGCTGGCTGTGCAGTCGTGGGACGGGAGCCCTGGAGCTGTCACACTGTCCAGAGAAACACCGGAGGCACTGGGCCCACAGCGGGCCTGGCCACCTGGCTTGTCTGAGCAGGAAGGGCCCTTGGTGGGGATGCGTCGAGGTGGAGCAGGCTGTCTGCAGCCTCCCCCTCCCAAGGCTGGAGCTCCCCTTCCATACCAGGCCCTCCCTGCTCCCCCTCCTCCCGCCTCCAGGAGTTCCGTGGCTCAGGGCAGCCTGCGCACCCATCTGCATGGACACTCCTCACGGTACTCCCCTCCTCACCTGTCCCCTCCAGCCTCAGCGCCATGGCCAGTGACACTCCTAGCGGCATCCCTGCCCCAACACTGCACCTGACCTTTCGTCTATCCCTGGCCCAGTCCAAGGTCCATTTTCTCCAGCCACGTCCTGACTCCCGGCCACGGCAGCACAGAGCCAGGCCAGGGCCTCCTGGCTCCGGCGCCTGCTAACTCTCCACCTGACCACCTGAGGGGATTCCCTGGCCATTCATTCCCTGGGCCTTTTATTCACCTTCCCTCAGCCCGTTCCATTCCCAGTGACGAGTGTGACCTTCCAACTCCACATTCTACGGGGGCTGTTTTCCACCAAACCTCAGCTTGCGCCTTCCCACCTCAAAACTCTGCCTGCAGCCTCTGCTCTCCACGTCCCTGGCTCACTGCCTGGCCCTGCCTCTTTCCATCTTCTCCAGAACCTGCTCGGTCCATGTTCTCCTCCACCTGCCTCACTCACTTCCATCTTTCCTTTCAGCCTCAACATGTTCACATCATAATCGTCCTCCCCAAGCGCCAGCCTTTCATTCTCTATTTCAGGTCCCAGGATCTCAGAGTACCCTCGACACTCACCACCTCCACTTCCTACACGCCCATCCCTTCACCGATTTAAATCTTGACATTCTGGAAGATCACCTCCCCCATGCCCAACGCACTAGCTCGGATTCGCAGGTCTCTCCCCGCCGCCCCTGCTGCACGCTCCACAGCACCCTGTGTGCTTGCTCCCACGCACGCCCTGCTCACACCAGGCCCAGAGCTCCTCAGGGCCAGGCCACATCTGTCGGCCCCACACTGAGGCCAGCTCTCCTCTCGTTCCTCTCCCCAAAGCACCCCCGTGCCTCCAGCTGCACCTCACTGCACTCTGCACCGGCCTTCCCCACCTGCTGCCTGGCAGCTTCCTGCTCAGCACGGCAGATCCGTGCAGCCCCTCAAGCCTTTTTGAAACTGGGAATGTTTCTCCACAGCATCCCTTAGGAAAGGAACAGCCCTCCCAGGCTGCACACTTGGGGACGTTCACAGACTGGCCAGCGACTCTCACGGACAGCAGAGCCAGCAGTCCACTCAGGGCAGCTGCCAAAAGCACCACCTTCAAGGTGATTTCCATGTGCAGGGACAGGACTACTGACCAGCTGGCCACTGCCCCCGCCCCTGCCAGCGGCGCACAGAGCAGCACAGGGGCAGTAGGCAGCCTCTCACCACGCAGCAGCGGCTGAAGGGCTGGTGCGTTGTGCTCATGTTTTGATGTTTTAACCCAGGAAGCATCACACAGCCATACGAGGACCATGACCCCCCCCCCCCCCCAGGAACTTACTGTTTCTTGGACTCTTCAAATTTGTGCAGCTTTTTGCGGAGGCCTCCTGACTTAAAACCTTGGCAGTGTGCGGCTGGCGCCCCAATGGTGACGATGTCATAGCTCTGATCTGAATGACAGAAAGCTCTCCTTCATTACCCTGGGCTTGGGCCTGTAGGCGACCCAGCTACAGGGATATGCACACGGATCTTGGGCCTGACCCTCCCCCAGGTCCACGCAGACTGCGGTTCCCTGAGCCCCACAGCCTGGGCTGTCCAGGGGCCCCTAACCTCCCAGGGTGAAGCCACACGGGGCTGAAGGCAACACGCAGCACACATCCCTACTTGGGGAGGATGACGGACGGGCAGCTTTCTGCCACAGAAACGCAAAGGAAGCTGGACGGAGGAGACACGAGAGGAAGGGGTTTGTGCTCTGAATGAAGACCTTACAAAGGTCCTGAGATGTGTCTCTCATCGAGCTGCCCAGCACAACATGCAGGCAAGGCTGGCGCAGATGTGGGGCAGTGCAGGGCCCACGTGCACAGGGGAACAGAGTGACAGGGGTTCCATAAGAGGGGCCGCAGTTACCTGATCCTCCATCGTCCTGAACCCTCATTCTTTGTATGTGCAAGTTTGTGGGAACAAATTCCAACTTTTTATCTGCTTTCAAACTGCTCGCTTTAAACGAGGGACCTAAGAAACGGAATATTCAAAAACAAAGGGCGTCAACATGTACCCGCACTCACGAATGGCAGCAGAAAGGGGGATTGTGGGGACGCTGCTCAGAAAGCAGGTATGGGTGGTCTCAGCCCTGGCAATTCTGCGTTGCCTACGAGCGCATTTCACTTCCAGACACTAAAGGAGGGCAGCCCGCCGGCCAGGAGACTGGCTCTGGGTGCTTAGGTGGGGAATGGAGGCCGGAGGCAGCCTCAGGAGGGACGGTGGATGCCTGCCCACCCATGACTCCGCTCTTCACAGAGAGGCTGACACAGGAGGAGGCTCTGTGCTGGAGGATGCCAGCAGCACTATAAAAAGCCAGGCCCACGCCAGGACTGCCTGCTCCAGCTCTAGAGGCTGCCATCATCCCAGACCTCGGGGACTGGTTCAACTAGAGCAGCATTTCTCAATCCTGAAAAGTGATGGCAAGATCTGCTCACCACCCGGGCTGTGGGGATGGACAGGTGCTGGGCAGCACCTGTTCTGGCCACTAGAACGCAAACTCAAACAGGCTCCCCTGTGCACACTGGGTGGTCAAGCAGGTGGACAATGTTGTGTGACAAAGATCTGCGATCTGATTTCCACAGTCAAAATCTGTAACTAATAAAGGAACTCCATGCCCAGAAAAGAAAGGACTTACAAACTACACTGACAATCAGGGTAGAAGAGGTAAGCGGTGAAGAAAGGAAGATTTAGCCCTAACCGGTTTGGCTCAGTGGATACAGCATCAGCCTTCGGACTCAAGGGTCCCAGGTTCAATTCCGGTCAAGGGCATGTACCTTGGCTGCGGGCACATCCCCAGTGGGGGGCCTGCAGGAGGCAGCTGATCGATGTTTCTCACTCATCGATGTTTCTAACTCTCTATCCCTCTCCCTTCCTCTCTGTAAAAAATCAATAAAATATATTAAAAGAAAAAAAAAGTAAGGAAGATTTATTTTGCCAGGATACAAAATACAGGCAGGCACTGTCCGCTCTGCACGAGGCTGCTCACTGGGCACGTACGGCGGCCCCGGCACCAGCAGCAGGGAGCCTGCTGGAATCGCAGAATCCGCTATCAATAAGACTGGGCATTTAGACACAGTGACATTGAGAGGCTCTGCTCCAGAAAACTCGGGCTGTGTGGTGTCAGACTCTCCCAGGTAACTGGCATCCAGCCTGGTAGGTCCCCACGTTCCTTCAAACAAATGCTGCCTTTTCTCTTAGAAATACACTGGGATCTATTCTTCAGATTCAAAGCAAACCAGGGCGCCAGCATCTTATTATCACTCCTGTGTTCACTTCTCCGCAGCCAAGTTCATGGACATGCTCACACGTTCTGGGTCAAAAGTACGGTAAGGGCTTATGATTTTCTTTCAAGCCTGAAATTTCATTATGAAGAGCAGAAGGAGGGAAGAATCTAAAGATAGAGAATAAAGTAATGGAATGCCCCTCCACGCCCCCCCCCCCAAAAAAAATCATTCCGTTTGGAATAAAAAGGGAGTAAGTTAAGAACAGTCTTCTAAACCTTCCCTGAGAGTGTTCTGAAAATCAAAGGGTATCTTCCAAGAAAAGGTGAGGTGTCTGTACTCCATCTCCCTTTGGAGCCTTAAAATAGCGAGTTCCACTCAATCTATATTTCAATGCAAATGCCACTGTTAAACTGGGAAATGGAGAAAAGTGCTTGTCGAAGGCACAGGGCCTCCATCCTTTGGGCATTTCACTGCTATTAGGTCATTGGTCTCTCCGAAATCTCATCGCACAGTGGTTGTTTTGGCACATGGCTCCTCGGAAGGAATTTTCAATGTAATTCACAGATTTGCCTTCTTAATTAGGATCTGAAAAATCTAAATTTTAGAGAATTCACACCTCCATGAGAATCTATTTTGAAAAATCCATTTGAGTGTCTGCCAGTGTGACCATCTGAGCGCTCCTGGGGTCGAGTCCCAGCGGGAACACAAGAGTGTGGTGTAGTGATGGAGAGACCTGTGCCCACCTTTGTACTGATGCAGGTCGGTCAGGTTCTCCTGGTACGTGAGGATGATGGTCTGGTACTGAGTGACAATCTGGCGCCGGAGGCTCTCCCAGCAGGGGGACAGCTCCCCCAGCTCCTCCAGTTCACACACTCTGCAAGCAAAACACAGGCGTGAGGCCCAGGGTCTGCACCACCAGAAAACAAAGTGCACACAGGAGCACGGAGATGCCAGGGAGGCCCCAGCACCGGAGTCTGAGCCGAGCAGCAGGGGCGTGACGGGCCCTCCAGGAGGAAGGGCTGCACGAGACGCAGACCCCGACCCCAGGGCAAGTGCACAGAGAAGCTTTTTACAGAAACGCAGCCAAATGTTTGAGGCAAACTAAGTGGAGGAGCGGAGAGGAGAGCAGCTCCACCCTGGCCCGACACCCTGGCTCCTGACAGAAACCACATGGGCGAAGGCTCAAGCTGCAGCCACTGGGCCTGGGCAGAGCAGAATGACCTGTGACCCTCCCAAACACGAGGGGCTGGAGACCTGTAAGTAACTGCTATGATTTGTTGTCTCCAGACAAATAAAACACAAGACAAATTAAAAACAAACAAACAAAAAACAGGTTAACCGTTTTAGGAACCTGGGGAGCAGGAAAGTATAAAAGACCTAAAATCCTCATGTTATAAGAAATCAGTACTGATTAAAAGTACTCTGTACAGCAGTTAACACTAACATGGAAACCCTGAGACTTACGTTTTTAACCGCCTTCGGCAGTATTTAGCTTTTTATACTATGCACATTTTCCTTCGAAGGAAAAAAACCTAATTTATACAAGTTTTTAGGAATCTACTAAGTTGTCTGATGTTAAAAAAAACATTGTACTACTTTATTATTATATTAGCAAAATTAATGTGCCCTGGCTGGTGTGGCTCAGTTGGTTGGAGCATCGAACTGTACACTAAAAGATTGTGGGTTCGATTCCCGGTCAGGGTACATACCCAGATTGCAGGTTTGATCCTTGGTTGGGCATGTACAGGAGGCAACTGATCTATGTTTCTCTCTCCCTTCTTCTCGCTGCCAAATCCATTAAGACATATCTTTGGGTAAGGAGTAAGAGAAGTTAATGTAAAAGAACACCCTGTGCAGATCAGGCTGTGGGGCTTGCAGGAGAGCAGCATCCTCGCTCAAAGGCCCACTGGCCCCAGCCTCAGCTCAGCTCACGCGCACCCTGTGGTCCCTCTGGATGTCTCTGCCTGTGTTTCATGTGGCTCCTTCTTATGTGTCAGTTTAATGTCACAGAGGCCTGCTCAGACCACCCTCCCTCTCAGGGCCCCCTTTTACTTTCTGCTGACACATCTGGGGCTCCATGTGTGGCCCCCAGCTCTGTTAATGACTGTCTCCCAGGGCGTCTCGCTCATCAAGGAGCCTCACACTGAGCACAGCACCTGCCACGTGGCTAGAGTGAGAAACAACACGACCCTCGAAAGCAAAATGCTTCCGTGAACAGTCTTTAAAGTTACAGTGCATGTGAGCACATACCTAGTGCCAACAGTGGGAAATGATGCCCTAACTAGAACTTATAAGAAAAGTGAAGATATAGGGTAGCTATGTATAAAGGCACAGATATAAAAAAGCTGAGAGGAAAAATGTAAAAATTAAAATACATATAAAAGATGTATAAATAGAGAGAAAGCAGCTCTTTGCATTTCTTGCCATTTTTCTTTTAAGTTTGATTTTTTTAAGATGAAAATTTAAAATGAAACAGTTGTGTTAAAACAGCAGGATTCTGGTTGCAATGTTTTCGTTCACGCTTTTGTTAATTGTGTCTGTAATTAACGTCATTTTATGACAAGGAGCAGTAATGACAGTGAAGGGCGAACGGGAGACACAACCTACATGCTGAGCCACCCAGGCTCCTCCCTGCCTGGGGACCAGTGGCGCATGCCGAGCTGGAAGGATGCCCAATGGGTCCTGCTTAACTTTCTGGAGCCCATATCACTGTGGCCCTGCCCACAGAAACTGCTGACCCCGGCAGCCATCACCAAAGAATGACCAGCTACTTTTAACTTCCTAAGGCCAAGGGAGCGGTGAAAGGAGAGGGAAGGGAGCGGGGACCGAGTGCCGGGTGCGTCTAGTGCTCCAGGCACATTGCCTTGTGAAGTCTTTGCACAGAAACCTCAGGATGCAGATGAGCAAACGGAGGCTCTGGACGCCCAGGCCACAAAGCAGCCAAGGGCGGAAGCTGGCTTGTCATCTGGCCTATCTGGGCCAGTGCTTCGTCCACCACACACATCTAAGATCTTTCCGGAAGGCAGGCGGCGCGGGCATGGTGGGCGGGCAGCCGCTCCACATGGGCCTCACCTGGCTGCATCTTCTTCCAGCAGCAGCTTCACGAACTGCCGGGGCACGTGCAGGGAGAGCACGCTCTCCGCCATCTGCTCCAGGATCCGCAGGTGGTTGCCGTCGGTGGTGGGGAAGCGGTACATGCGGCAGATGGCACCACCGAACACTGAGGGGCGGGGAGACGGAGACTGTGTGAGCAGCTGCAGACCTGGCCGGGTCCTCCTCCCCACGCCCCCAGGTATCCTGACTGTTCCTCTCAATCAAACACTTAAACCCAAAGCCCTCCAGGTGACTGAGCCTGAATGCTCTTCCCCTGGGACATGCAATCCCGTTCTCCCAGAATGAACCACTAACTCCCAAATACAAGGGCTGTGCCAGTGAGGCCGGCAGCCACTAAGGCCAATGTCAGCAAGAGACAGCCACAGAGGTGGGTGGAAAGGGTGACTGGGCCCGACTGGACTCTCCCGAGAGGGGCAAGAGGACCGTGGGGGAATCCGCTCACCCGATTTCAGCAATGTGTCTTTACGCAACGAAGCATATTTGGATCGGATTCCCAACGCTTCGGTCAAGCTCTCGTCCACGGGGAGGACCATCTAGTGACATACAGAAAAGCACGAGAAGCCATAGGCTGAGGTGAGCCCAGCGCACTCCACAGGGGTGGTGGCCGCCAGATCTCATGAAGGAGCTCTTAAGGTGAATGGCACCATCCACTCCACAATGAATAGGTCACCTAGGCCACCGACTGATCAACCCACGTCCCAGTACAGTGGACGTGTCCCACTCAAAATTTTCCAGAAATGCCTGTCTTTCGACTACGTCATTTCACCTCATATTTCAGTGTTTTGACGTGTAAAGTAAAAGGGAGGGAAAACGATACCCAGAAATATTTCCATAGCTGACGTTCTGGGCTTATTTGGGGTAAAATGACCTATCTCTGTATTTTAAAATGGTATGTACCAGCGCTTGAGTTCTAAACTGGAATTCTAGTCTGAGAGCACAGATTGTCTCTGAACATGAGTGAGAGAAAAGGTGAGGAGACAGCATGGGAGGGAAAGGGGATGGGAAGACAGAGCCTGAGAGGGGGTGTGAGAGGCGGCAGGACGTGTGCAGACTTGAGATGTGTGTGCATGAGGCGACCATGAGCGCCTGAGTGCCTGGGAGAGGAAGGTACTAACAAAATACCAGACAGTCTGGGTCTCATTCCCCACCCCCAACCCCAGCCACCTCTCCCCCGTCCTGACTGCACCCCCATCACCTCTCCCCCCTCCTGACTGCACCCCCATCACCTCTCCCCCCTCCTGACTGCACCCCCTCCACACCCCTCTCCCTTCCTGACTGCAGCCCCTCCGCCAGGCTCCCCCCACCTCTTCCCATTCTGGAGAGGTGGCCCGTGTGGCCTGGGCAGAGGCAGGCTCCAGGGCAGCAGAGCCTGAGGGGCTCCCTTGTCTCCCCTTTGAGAAGCGCCCAGGGGACTGGTAGGTCCTATGGCGGGTGGACAGTGCAGGCCCACCTGCCCCTTCCCTGCGGCAGAGGCAGCGCCCATCTAGACAGGGGCCATCACTCCTTCCCATGAATGGGTGCTCACCCTCCCGTTGATGGTGTCCACAGCCCGGGTCACTGGAGGCCGCTGGTCTGACTTCTCCTCCATCTGCCAGCCGATCACCGTGATGTTACCCACACGGTCACTCTCTGCAGACCTGCAACAAGCAACGTGCTTTGGGAAGTGGCATCGTGACTGGGCTCCATTTCTGCGTAAGCTCAGCATCTGTCACCAAGGTCTAGGGCGTGCCGGGACCTGGCCGGCTGGCCAGTCGGGCAGCACTTGCTGCACGCCCAGACTCCAGGGGAGGCAGACAGGGAACCCAAGCCCCAGGAGAAGTGCGAGCATGCCTGGGGACCTGAGGGGAGGAGCCAGTGCTTGCTCCCCTGGGCTGACCCCTGCCCCACACAGCAATGGGGACACGTCTGGAAATGAGGACTGGAGAGAACCTTCTTCTGGGACCAGATCCTTCCTGCTCCTTCTTCAAGCTTTGATTTTCCCCAAGGCTGAGGCCTGGACCCTAAGTCAGCTGAGGCCACCCAGGGTTTCCCAAAGCCTCTGATTCCTGACACGGCACAGCTGCTGCCACTCCACCCGTCTGGCTCCCCCTAAGATCGCGGGGGGCTGCACTGCGTGGGCCCATGTGACTCATCCAGGGACGCCTGGACTATTATGGAAGATGTCTGACAGAGCCAGTGTCAACTTTCCTGTGGTCACTGCTGTGCCAAATGCCTCTGTGACTCTCAGTGTCCTCATGCCCGGGAAGTCCTTTCCCCACACTATCCCAACAGTCCTCGTCAGCTTCTCTTAGAGGATGATGTCCACTTCTTACGTGTGCGCGGGTCCAACTAGGATTGCTCAGGCACATCGTGTACCTGGGTATTTTCCTCTACGACCCCGTTCCCCATGACCCTCGTTTCCCTAGGACTGTTCCTCTCTCCCCAGTCAGGTCTCCACACCCACCAGGCGCCTGCAGGGCTCCTGTCCTGCCCGATGCCGGCGGCACTGCTATCACCATGGCTGCAGAGAATTAGTGCAGGGAATTAATCCTCTTTGCCAACATTTCCTTTGCTATTTTGGAATGTTTTCCCAATTTTCACATTATTTTGAAAACAAGAACACCAAGTCAGGGGTTGGGTGGGAGTTGCCCCTAAAATGAATTTGGGAAGAGTTGCCATCTTGACATCTTTCTTCCAGGGACATGGTGGGGGTCCCCCCGCCCCCACAAATATTTATTGAGCCCCAAGCCCTGTTCTATGTGCCTTAGGATACAGCAATGAAGCAAAACAGAAAAAACCCCTGCTTTCTGGGAGCGGACACTCTGTTGGGGAGGAAGCAGACACTGTAAACTCATCTCGCCGATCAGATGTGATCTAGGTCTTCCTGCAGGTCTGAGTCCAGCTGTACTCGATTTCCTGTGGATGCCACACATGCCCCCTCCATTAGCCCCCTGACAGATTGTTTGCTAAGACCAGCCTCTGGGAGAGGCAGGAAATGGGGCCCTTCCCCATGAGTCCCGGGACCTCAGAACTCAAGACCCTCTCAAAGGAACAAAATTAAATACCAACCTTAGTGTTAAATGCAACCGATGATGCCTGTCCTGGAGCAGATCCTTGACAATGAATGTCCCAGAGCCCAGTAGGTACATCTGAGGAAGAGGGAACACAGCGTGAGCCCGTGCTGTGCCTCAGCCCCATGACCAGGCCGGGGTCGCTGGCTGCTGCCCACAGCACCTCTGACCCTCACTGCAGGAGCCCAACAGGGATGTGCAGGAAGAAATTCCAAAGGCAAATCCCACAGGATATCAATTAGTGGGCCAGTGGTGAAGCCAGTCGCATGTGCTCCTCTCGCTGAAATGACTGCCCAGCTTTAAGAAACGAAGAAAGGCCCCTGAACCACGCACTACTTAACTGTTCCCTGAGATCTGTCTTTGACGTCGTACACGGAGAGTTTGATCTGCGTCATCTGATTGATGAGAGAGTCTTGGAAGAAGGCAATGCTGCTTAAGAATATAGGGTTGTTGGTTCCCTAGAACAGAAAAGAAAATCCTCAGAACACAGAGTTGAATTTTTAAAGTGATTGTTCATTTCAGAACGAGAAATTAACGTTCTTACCAACTTGGATCAACACAAATGCTCATGGCAGCTTAAACGAATGCAGTCAAAGAAAACCCCATTTTTCAAGAACGAAGGCGTCCCACAGACCCCTCCCGATCCAGACACAGCTGGGCCCAGGCGTGTCCCGAGGGCCCCCTCAGTGGGAGGCTTCTATAACATGGAAACAGGCTGACGTTCGCGTGTCGTTCAGCTTGAATACACTATGCAATTGGGTCTACTACTTTGGGCTGTTCCTGTAAGGTGTGCCAAGGCGGATGGAAGAGGAAATGAATAGCTTAAGTCGTTTCTTACTTCTAGAATCCTGTGGTTTAGAATAATTAAGGCCTGACCTATTTAAGCTATCCCTTTTTTGAGGACTAGCTGCTAGTTTCTAGATCATAGGTGGTTATTCCTGGCAGCTTAGCCTCGCTCCCCCGCCCCCAAAGCCCCGCCTGTGTGGGGACCATGCCCTGGCTGAGCGCCCTCTGCAGCTCCAGATCCAGTCTCTCCACACCTGCTGGACAGCGCCGGCCTCCCTCCATCCGCCCCTGTCAACCAGCTCTGACTCTCGCCCAAGGAGGCCACCAACTTGGGCATCTGCTTCGGTACCTGCTTCTCTGTCGTTCTCAACCTCCAAGTTACAATAAACTCTTCCATAAACCCTCCCTCTCCCTAGCCAGTGTTCTCAGTGGTTAGAGCATCAGCCCGAGCACTGAAGGGTCTCAGTGCACATGCCTGGGTTGCAGGTTAAATCCCCGGCCCAGGTCAGGTATGTGCAAGAAGCAACCAATCGATGTGCCTCTCTCACATCGATGATTCTCTCTCTCTCTCTCTCTCTCTCTCTCTCTCTCTCTCTCTCTCTCCTACTCTCTCTAAAAATCAATGGGAAAAATACACTCTTTCGGGTGAGGATTAACAAAAAAACAAAATTTAAAAATCCTCTCTCGCAGGCACCCCTTCTGCCCCTCCTTCCCAATGCGTCAGGTGCAACATCGCACTCCCTCACACACCTCTGCTCAGGTGGCCCTCACGTAACTCCTAGCCCGACTTTTGAGGCGTTCCCCTTGCTCTCCACCTGTGCCTTCTGCACACATGAACAGGCTGATGTTATTCTCCAAGACACATGATGCTCCCCATCGCCATTACAGGACTCTGCAATGCTCCGCAGCTGTGGTCCCTAGACCGGCAGTGTGGGCATGACCTGGAGCCTGGGAGAAACACAGAGTCTTGGGCCCCACCCGACTTATCGAGTCAGAATTTCACTACGTGGCGTAGGAAGCCACCTCCGATCCTCAGAACTAGCTGGGAACCCATCCTCCTGGTGCCATCCTCACCCTTCACACACCTGCACTCTGCTGGGTACAGATGCGGACACCTTCATTCATCCGCCCTCCCCCAGGATGGCCAACCTCTTGGGGGCAGGGCTGGGGCCTCAATGGCCTCTGCATCACCCGCAGCGCCCAGCACTGTGCTGCGTGTACAGACAGTGCTCAACAAAGGCTTAGAAACAGGATTGCTGACTTGAACTTGGAAATAAGTTTACAAGAGAATGAAAAGGTCTATCTTCCAAAATGTAAAGCTAGGGACGAGGAGGAAGTGCAGTGGAGCCTGCTGGAGATTGCCAGGGCGGACAATTCACACAGGAGCTCACATCGCCAGCAGAAGCCTGTGGAATCCCACAGCAACGCCTACTCTTAGTTTCACAACTTACACAATGTGCTCAATTATCTAAACGGCTTCTGTAAAATTCCCGAGGTGAATGCATAACATTTAGTTTAATGAAAAAGTAAGTATATAACACACAACTCAAAAGGATATAAAGATAAAAACCAATTAAAACAGGGGTATGTCCACTAGGAGAGTTGGTTAAGAGTTACTCTCCAACTGGAAGTGACAAGGAAGAATTGGATCTTCCTCTTAAAAGGCAGCCAACTTTATAGCATCACTGTTCAAAAATACCCAGCCAGTAACTGGCCAATGATTGTAAAGGATATGGCAAAAACAGTGCCCTCCAGAACTGTGATGAAAAATATCACTTACTAAAAACACATGGACAACAGCAAGAATTCACATAGAAATGATCCCGGCTACAGGTGCTCAGGTCACCGAGCAGCCTCCCCCGGGGTGAGACTGCGGCGAGCCTGTCCCCGAGCCCCGGGGGCCAGCAGCACCCACCTCGATGATCTCCGTCTGCGCGTGCTTCGTCCAGAATGCCTGTGGAGGGGTGGTCACACTCACTGCTACAAAACTATTTGGTTTCCGATCTAGCGATGGCGTATGCAGCTCACTACAAGCTATGGAATCAAGATGTGAGAGAAAAGAATCCTTTAAAATCAGGCTCTAGTTAGTTCTGTGTTCCACACACACTCAAAGAGCAAAGACAGTAAATGACACTCAAAAGGATGAGGCAATTACATGGTCTGTTGTCACAGGGAGCTGATTTTTTAATTGGAAACAATCTCTACTCACACCCCCCCCCCCCCGCACACACACCTCCCCGGACACCATGGCAGCAGTGCCCTAGCTGCAGGGAAGGCGAGCCCAAAGGGCTTTCTGCACCCATGGAATGGCGCACAGAGCCAACCATCTCACATGCACATCTAGTGTTCTGAGCATTTTGGGACAGATTATAAGACTCAGAAGTTCAATGGTAGAAGTGACTTACGGGGAAAACGGTCCTATTGCATGGACTCTAACATGTATCTTTGTAAAACGCACTGCGAAAGAAAGATGACCCACTGCCACACAGCAAATGCTACCGACCATAAACACTTTGTCATTACAGAAAAACATGAAGAAACATGCTCCGTGGAACTGATTAAATGTACGGCAAGTCAAAGTTCTGCACCGGAAGAAGCAGCTTTTCTGGCAGAGCAATAACCACCCCCGAGTGCTCGGCTTTTGCTTGCTTTCAGAGTTCTCAAACAACTGACTTCGGCCCTTTTTGTCAGTGTTCTCATTGCCTTTATGGAGGAAAAAACTTTTTGGAGGGCCTCACACTGTCGTTCCTGCTCCCATCTTTCTCATTTGATTTTTAGAATGCTCTCTAGTGATTTAAAATTTAGAAATTAACTTTTACTTCTGGAAATTAACTTTGGTTCTCTGATTATCCCTTGTAATATTGTCTCATATATCTTGAATCTTCATTATTTATTGGATACTAGAGGCCCGGTGCATGAGATTCGTGCACTGAGGGGAAGGGGGTCCCTCAGCCTGACCTGCGCCCGCTTGCAGTCCAGGACCCCTCGGCATGCATCCCTCTCAGAAATCTCTCTCGAAGTCTGGAAGCACTTGGGGACGTCTGACTGATGGCTTAGGCCCGCTCCCGCCACCACCGCTGCGCTCGCCAGCCATGAGCCGGCTTCTGGCTGAGCGGCGCTCCCCATGTGGGAGCACACTGACCACCAGAAGACAGCTCCTGCATTGAGCATCTGCCCCCTGGTGGTCAGTGTGCATCATAGCGACCAGTCGTTTCGCCATTCAGTTGATTTGCATATAACCCTTTTACTATCCTATATAATAAAAGCCTAATATGTAAATTGTCCCTCAGGAGTTAGACTGGGAGTTTGATCACTCGCTATGACGTGCGCTGACCACTAGGGGGCAGCACGGAACATGGACGTCAGCGACGCGGCGCTGGCAGCAGGTGGCAGTGGAGGCGCTGCCAGCCCCGATGGGCCCTGATGAGAGCAGGACCGTGGCGGGATGGTGGAGCAGGTGAGCGGGTGGCACCAGGCCAAGGCAGGGTGCCAGGCGGGGCCACGGGGCTGCGAGGCTGGGGGCGTGAGCTGGGGCGGCGAGCCTGGGGGCATGAGCTGGGACCTGATCCCTGAAGGCTACCCCGAGGGACCCCACCCATGCACGAATTCATACACCAGGCCTCCAGTATCCTATATAATGAAGAGCCAATATGCAAATGGTCGTCACATACTCACGCCCTGGCTGGGAGACCTGAGGCTGTGCCTCCCACCCCGTGTTGGGGCCAGGAGACCTGAGGCCGGGCCAGGGAACCTGAGGCTGTGCCCCCTGCCCCAGGGCTGGGGGACCTGAGGTTGCCCTCCTGCCCGGCAGGGCTTGACGGGGGTGGGGCCAGCCGGGTCTGGGCGCAGGTGGGCGGGGACTTGACTCTGGGTTCTGCGGTGTGCCCCAGACTCTGAGAGGAGGGAGATTTTCATATACATTTTACTAATTTTCTTTCATCTCTGACACTTCTATTATAGAGAAAGGGCAAATAGCAATATTAAAATATTTCCTCTAATTAATTCCCTTTTAATGTGCACAAATTTTGTGCACTGGGCCTCTAGTAGGATAATAAAATACAAAGAGCTTGGCTTTTGAGTTCTGAGAGTCATATGTACCATGTGACCATCAGCAAAGCAAGGTAGAACTTTTCCCTCAGGCTAGAAAGTTCCCCTTACTTCCAGCCTCTGTGCGCATCACAGCGACCGGTCATTATGCAGTCACTTCCTCACTTCCATCACTGCTGTCTATTCTTGAATTGCACATAAGTGGAATGTTTTAAGATTCACCTATATTGTTCCATATATATATATATCCCATTGTATAAATGCACCAAGTGTTCTTATCCATTTTGTTAGTAGACATTTGGGTTGCTTCACTTTGAGCCATTATAGATAAAGGTGCTATAAACATTCCTGTTCAAGTCTTTCTGTGAACTGCGGTTTTCCTTTCTCTTGACAAGCACCTAAGGGTGGCATTTCGAGGTTACAGCAGAGGACAGGTCTCACTTCACAGCTAACAGTTCTCTAAAGTGGCTGCACCATTTTACAGCCATCACAACGTGCAGGAATGCCAATCACAGCTGACATTTGGTGAGCTTACTGCTTATTTCTGTTGTTCTAATAGATGTTTTAATTTGCACTTCTGTGATGTGAAGCATCTTTTCACCATATGCTTACTGCCCGTTTTTATAACTTCATCAAGAGTCTAACTAAGACTTCTGCTTATTTTTAAATTGGATTGTTGACTTTTTAATTGCTGGTGTGTAAGCATTCTACTGTACAGCTGCCCTCTGTCCAGTATATGTGCTGTGAATATCTTTTTCCCAATCTGTGGTTTATCTATTCATTTTCTTAAACATTTTTAGATTTTATTTTAGATTTTTAATTTTAGGAACTGGTAGGCAGAAAATTGTCCCTCCCCCCAAAAAAGTATCCACGTCCTCGTCCCTGGAACCTGTGAATATATTACATCTCCAGCAAAGGGCTGCAGATGTGACTGGGTCATGGAATCATCAGATGTGACATGGGAGGTCATTCTGGATCATCTGAGTGGTCTTAATCTGATCACGTGAGCTCTTAAAGCAGAGAGGAAGGTGGAGTCAGAAAGATGTGATCAAGGAGAAAGGTGAGATCCAAGGTATGGAAGGACCCAACCTGGCACTGCTGGCTCTGCAGATGGAAGGGGCCCACAAGCCAAGAAAGGTGAGGGCCTTTCTAAGCTGAGAACCAGCCTCAAATGGCAGCTGGCAAAGAAATGGGAGCACAGTCCTAAAATGGTAAGGAACTAAATTTCGCCAACAATCTGAATGAGCAAGGAAACCCCCCCAAACCCATAGAAAGGAACGCAGCCCTACCGATGGGTTGACTTTGGTGCTGTAAGGCTCAAAGCAGAGACCCAGCTGAGCCCACTGGAGTTTTGACCTAAGGGAACTGTAAAGATAGTAAGTTTGTGTCGTTGTAAAATGCTAAATTTGTGGTGGTGTGTTATGGCAACAATAGCAAGCTGAAGCACAGAGTTAGTGCTTTCGCTTTCTAAGAAATCTCGGACCACCCTGAGGCTGAGTTATTTCATTCGTTTACTTCTAGAACCTTTAAGGCTTTATGTTTTAAGTTCTCTTCTATCTTTCCTACGAGTCTACCTCAGCAGCAATCAGGGATTGGGCTGTTCTGCCGCCTCCCTCTCCTTTATGCTGTGCCCTTAAGGGAGCCATGGTCTGGTCCCTCTCGGCTTGCCTTCACCAGGTGTGGTTCTTCACACACATGCAAGGCCAGAATAGCTGGGTTTCCAAATACAACTGATGGCTGAGCAATAACAGGTGGCCAAAGGCTGGGAAAACTTATCAGTTTAAGGGCTGATGAGCCAAATGCCACCTTCAGAACACACCTTCCCACAAGTGACATTCCCTCCTGGCCTCACCCCCGACCCAGCCTACCTAAATGTCACCCAATGTTTAATTCCTAGCTCTGAGTTCCATAGCTCCCACAAGGCTTTCTCTCAGCAGTCCCCGGTCCCCTCTCCTTCTGTTCACTGCTTATATCACTCCTTCAGCCTATTTCCTCAGAAACCATTAATCTCTGACATGCATGCCTTGTCTCTCCAACCATATCACCTGTAATCCCAGCTGAGCAAACACTGCTGAGGTAAAGAATAAAGCATATTTCAGGTGCATATCATTTGACTCAGCAATTCCAGATCCAAGAATTTGTCCTAAGAAAATAACCAGCAAAATACATGAAAGATCTATGTGCAAGTACGTGCACTGTGGTGGTGTTTATAGCGGCAAACGGGAGGGAACCTAGGGGCTACCAACAGAGATGGTTTAAGGTGAGTGTGGCACAGCCGTAGGCAGATTCTCTCTGGGCACCCAGTACGATGAGGCAGTTCCATGTTTATTAGAATGAAAGGTGCCAGTGATATTTTGCTACATGAGAGGAAAAGCCATGTTAAGAACATTAGGGTAACATTTCTGTAAGTAATTCCACCATCTACAAACCAAAATCATTATAGTGCTGTGTGGGTGCAAAAATACCTGGAAAGACTCACACCAAAATGCTATCTCTGAGTTTCTCTCTCTCAGGAATTTCTTTTCCTCTAACATTTGTTGTAATAAATGTTTTAAAATAAGTACTTTCCTTTTTGTTAATCCTCACCCAAGGACATTTTTTTCTATTGGTTTTTTAGAGAGAGTGGAAGGGAAGAAAGGAGGAAGGGAAGGAGGGAGGAGAGGGAGGAGGAGGAGGAGGAGGAGGTGGAGGAGGAGGAGGAGGAGGAGGAGAAGGGGAGAGAAAGAGAGAGAGAGAGAAAACATCAATGCAAGAGAGACACATTGACTCGCTGCCTCCTGCAGGAGCCCCAACTGGGGCCAGAGATAGAACCTGCAACCCAGATATGTGCCCTTGACTGGGAATTGAACCCATGATCCTTCAGTCCGTGGGTGAATGCTCTAACCACCGAGAAACACCGGCCAGGACAGTACTTTTTAATTTTAATCTATATATATTTTTTTATTAAGATAAAACATTTGATCAATCATCTGGCTCCTCACCTTTTTTGCTTAATTGTGGTAAAATTCACTTCACATAAAATTCACCCTCACCTTCTAAGGCTGTTTCATCCTCTATGTCTGTATTACTTGACTTGTCACATGCAGAAACAGCCTGATTTCTATCTAGGGGTGAGGGTCTCAACTCAATTCTATCAACTCTCATGCTTTCTGGTTTTACTCTAGATGTGGCTGTCAGAAGTCCAGGGAACCCTGACTCGATCAGGGTGTATTGAAACCTCTGCATAACCTGGTGCATAACC